ACGCTGGATCGAAGCGGAGCGGAGCGGAGCGGAAGAATCTGTCCAAATTGGGAAGTTACGTGGGTTGGGGTGCGGGGGCAAATCCCCGCGGTTTGGTACAGGGGTAATGTTGTAATTACATATTGTGCCTAAGGTTTACTCCTGGGGTTATAAATTGGCCTGTTAGTAACCCCAGGAGGTATCCCTCTATTCTGTAACCCTTTTCTGAATATTGAAAGGAACTCGCCGCTCTGCTCCCGAGGACGTAGGCATCTTTGCCGAACCTCGTTAAATCTCTGTGTTCTTCTGGATTTGTGTCGTTACTGTTTTCTTCGCCCTAATTTTCTCAACAAATAGGCAGAAATTAGATCCATGAGGATCATCCCAAAAATCAACTCATTTTTGTAGCAAATTAAGTTCTTTAGTTTTTTCTTCTTTCACTTAGAGGTAGAGAAAGAGAGGAGAGAAGATGAGAGAAGAGATAGAGAGAGAAAGAGAAATATAGATTTTTTGTAAACGTCGAAACGCTCGACAGTGTAATTCATCGAAATAATAAAATACTCTGCAGCTCCGTTGACGTAGGTAAATTACCGAACCACGTAAATCTGTGTATCCATTATTTTTGTGTGAATTTTTCTTTTCATTTTTCATTTTATTGCGGTTATTTTTTACAACAATTTGTCCCCTCATTTTTTTTTTTAAGGAATGCTTGTTTTGAGAGGGAAACGAAAGGTGATTTACATTCATCCCACAAAATTTTTATGTATTTACAAATCTAACACCTAAACCTTACTTTCAAGAAATAAAAGAGGAAAAAAAAACCTTAATTTTACCTGATCTTAAACAAAAAAGCTGCAATAAATTGTGTTTCTGTTCACAGCATCATCACCTCAAACTCTTGAAAACTAATCCGGCCATCTTCATCAAGATCAAAACTTTTAATCATGCACTTACAGTCCTCTACAGTTCTCTCCTCCCCAAGCCGTCGAAGCGCCCTCCTCAAGCTCCTCGCGGTGATGAATCCCTTTCCTTCCCTCTCATACGCCGCAAACGCGTCCCTCAAACTCCTCCCTTTATCCTCCTCCTCCTCAGCTTGAACCAGTCTCAGGAAATCCGCAAACCCCAATTTTCCATCTCCGTCAGAATCCGATGATGCGACCAACTCGATCGCCTCGGCTTGCAACAGCTGCTCGCCGAGGGAGCTCTCCATGGAGCGCCATAGCTCCGATGCAGAGATCTTGCCGTCTCCATCTTTGTCCAAGTAGCGAAAGACTTGTTCGAATTGTGGCCGAGCGGGAGAGAAGCACAGTGATTTGGGATGGGGAGGGAGAGTCTTGTGCTTTTTGGGCGACAGAGCCGCGCGGATTTTGGCAATGAAGGAGGGAAAATTTTTCATCAGTTTGGTGGACTTGGTTGTTGAGTTTGGAAGTAAATTTGGGATTCTTTGGGGGATTTGTGTAAAGTTTATATAGAGTTTGGAAGGGAGTTTCAGTGGGCGGAAGCGGATCAGAGTGAAATGGCGGCTGGTGGATATTTATTCGACGGCTAATAAAGTGGGCTCTGGATTATTGGAAATATAGTCAACTAAAAATTATGAGTCAACCCCCTCATGTCAAACACGTTAATGAGAAAAATAGTTAGAGATCTTTTTTATAAAATTTTAATTCATTTCTAATAAATTTATACATTTAATACCACAATTTTTATAGAATATATATATATATATATTATATATATATATAGACACACACACACAATTCTTTTGCATTTACTTCTCACACCGAAATTTTACTTTTTACAAATCAATCATATTTTCCATGTTTGAAAAGATGTATGAATTAGTGGATTTGGATGTAAAATTAAAGTTTAGGTGTGAGATAAATAAATGCATAAGAATTAGGTGCTATTTATAAAATTTTCGTATACCCTGTTGCCAACTCACGCTTCGTGTAGGTTGGCCGGACACCTCCGCTTGCATCGCTCCTCCTCGAAATCTCGCCGTCCTCCCGGAGAAGTCGAGAACGTCATGCCTGACATTTCTCTTTCCCACCCCAGACAACCTATTCCCTCTTCCTCTCTCTTCTTTAGTTTTTAATTAAATAATAATATTTTTAAGTGATGAAAATTTTGAGTGATATAAATATAAAAAGTAAAATTAAGGTGTTCACTATATAAATACATAAGAATTGGGTGGTATGTATGTAAATGTTCCAAATTTTATGCAAGAAAAAAATTATAGTTATAAATATTATCATTGATATGTTAAGAATTTAATAATTAATAATAAATATTTGAAACATTTGCATGAGTTGCTCCGAAATGATTGTGTGAGAATTTTGTTGTGCATCATTTCTGTATCATATAATGAGTTTTTCTTTTGTTATTATGTGGAGTTTGATTTTGTTGATCAATTATAAACTCAAGTCCTTAATTTCACTAATCAACTCGGCGATGAGTCTGTCAGGGGCATATAGAGCTATACCCACAGTGTTGCTGTCATTGCAGTGCCACAATATCAATTTTGCAACGCAGCTCTAGAGAAAAATTTGTGCTAAAACTAGAGAGCATGGCTCCACCATGCAATATTAGAGCATCGCCGAGTTATAATTGTAGCGCCGCAACGCTGCTTCACAGTGTTGTGAATCAGATGTCCGCTTTAAGTGAATCAAATGTCATTGTAGCGCCGCAACGCAGCATCACAACTCTTTTTGCAGCTCTTTAGGTTGGATTTTAAATTATCTTCAGCAAAAAGTGGACTACAAAGGTCCCAAAGCTATGAAGATTGGTATAATTTGTCATAATTTTGTTTGAGATCTCTTGAATCAATTTTCACAATTTACATCTTCCAAATATTCTTTTACTGTAATATGTGTATTATATTTATCCTATAGTTACAAACGTTTATTTTATATTTGTGAATTAATAGTCTCATAATTTTATAAATAAATATTTCATAATTTAATTAATAAGGGTGGCCTAACTTCTTTCCCAAAGGAAGCCCGCACTCTACCGAACTTAAAAGAAAAATAAATATTTAAAATTGTTGTTGGAGTTTTGCATTTCATCAGTAGTGAACATCTTAATAGAAGTACGACTGCAAAAAAGCTCGTAGTTCGCAAATAGTTCGTGTTCGGTTCATCAATGAGTTCGTGTTCGATTCGTTCGATAAGTAAACGAGATGAACGAGAACAAATATTTTTCGTTCGGCTAGTTAAACGAACCAAACACGAACAGTGATGTGTTCGTTTGTGTTCGAATTATTATTGTTAGAGATATAAAATAATTAAAAATAATTAAAAATAATTATATATATATATAATTTATGATATTTTAAAAAATTAAATTTTATAATTTATAATATTTAATAAAGTAATAATAATAATATATTAATAACCATATTAGTAATATACTAATGTAAATATTATATATTTATATAATATAAGTTATATAATTAATATAATATATTATTTATATATATTAATATTAGGGATGTCAAACTTGCTCGTCGTTCGCAAACAGCTCGTGTTCGGCTCGTTCTTTAAGAAACAAACACGAACGGTGACTTCACGAACAGTTTCGAACACAAGCTTATTTCAAACAAACTAAATTTCAAACGAACCGAACACGAACACAAGCTCTGTTCATTATGTTCAATTTATTTACACCCCTAAATAGAAGGATGAGATTAGATGGGTTTAACAAATGGAAACTTTATTGGATCAGGTGAAATTATCTTGCATTTACATTCCTGGGAATTGGAATAGTTGAAGATAAATGACGGGATTCCTGCCTCCTAAGATGTTGATATTAAGCCCAAAACAAAGTGATTTCCTATTAGATTAAACCCTTTATATTTTACACACTGCCTTCTTTATGTTAAAATAAGAATGCACAGGTGGATATTTTTGGCTTAATGGATATGTATCTGAATTGCCAATTCTTACATAGTTGTATTTTCTGCTCAAATTAGTGATTTCGGCTTCTTTTTTTTTCAACTATGCAAACAAATTCAAACTAAAAGCAAAGCCTCATATCATATCATGCGACCAAGTACAATAACAGTAATTACTATTAAAAATATGCTAGATCAATAAACTGATCATGAGAAAGAACCAAGAGAAGCATTTAATTATTCATCAAATTAAGAAAATGTGGCATTAATGAAAAAATCAATGGGCAAAGCCGAAAAAATCTAAGTCATTTTGCCTGTATCCTAAAGCAAAAGAAAGAAAGAAGCTCTACAAGCTATCTAAAAGTGCAGCTTCTTTGCTGCCATCCCGAAGGTTCTTAACCTCTCCATAACATTTCTAATCTCATCTGAAATGTTGGCATAAAGCCATCTCTGAGCTCCCACACTAAGCCCGTCTGGCGAGGTATGAGGCCACCCAAGAGACCCAGACGAAGATTCATGGGACATAGTTTTGGCCTTCTGTCTCAAACTTTCAACATCAAACTCTAAGGGTTCCCCAACAATAATTTTTATATGTTTGTTGATGAGAGGGAATAGTGGCCTTCGATCGAACTTATATTTCTCAGGCATTACCTGATAATTAAGCAAATGGTTAGGAATTAGGAATTGTTTTGCTGAAGTTCCTGCAGATGATATTTTACCCGAGATTACATTGTGGGGGAAATACAGTTAATAGAAAGAGCTGCGCACTAAATATTGGCTAAACTAAATCTTTCTTTGACTGTGTACACGACATTATTATATGGATATCATTGTTATGTAGATGAAATTGAGCAAGGCATCCCTGATTTATCTTTCATGCCAATGATAGAGAAAAGTAATCATATAAGAGTCAGTAAAAATCGGTAAAACAGAAGGGAGATCATCCAAGGTTTTCGCATTGTTTGGTTTTAAGCCAACTATTAAGACCTAAAAGAAAGCAATACAACGGAGAAAACAGTTATGCAGTTCTAGCACATAACTTCAAGTTTGTTATTATTGTCATTAGTAACCCTATCACTACAAGATACAGGTAAATAGCTTCTAAATTAACATCCCAAAATTTCTTACGCAAATATTTGCATATGCTCTGTCCAACCTCTGCCGAATAACATTACCGTAGGAAGTTTTATCGGAATGTTCTTACATAAATATTTTACCTGAGATTAGATTAAAGTGGGGGAAATATAGTAAATAGAAAGAGCTGCTAACTTGCACTTAATATTGGCTAAACTGAATTTTTCGTTTTTGGACTATGTTAACCACATTATTATATGGATATCATTGTTAAAGACTGAATGATCGATTGTGTTTAAAAAATTTATTTCTATTATCATTTGTTTCAACAATAAGATAAGCTGATATGTGAAATTATTGTCTAAAGATTAACCAAACCCACCCCCCACCCAAAAAAAAAAAGCATCAGCTCATAGCAAAAAATTAGATAGCATATGTTAGAAAATCAAACCATCCCTACGGCTATTATGTAAACGTCATTATTATATGGATAACATTGTTATGTAGATAGCACTAAGCAAGCCATTCCCTGATTTCTATTTCATGTCAAAGATAGAGAAAAGTAATAATATAAGAATCAATAAAAATCAGTAAAAGACAAGAAACCACCCACGGTTTTATCACTGTTTGGTTTTAAGCTAACTATTTTGACCTGTAAGAAGGTAATACAACGGAGAAAACAGTTATGCAGTAGTCGTAGTCTATAACCTCAAGTTTGTCATTATTGCCATCAGTGACCTTAGTCTCAATAAAATGATGGAGTATAATTCACAAAAGATAAGAAAAAAAAGGAATGACGAAGTATGATGGTGTAAGTAAAGAATTAGCAAAAGTTCAAAGAAAACAGATACCTAAGTTGTAGCTATTTATTTCTCCATACCTTCTCAAAACCACAATGGACGATTGGCAGAACTAATGGGGTTACAGGAGCTCGGGCGATCAAACTGGCAGTTCCCCATTTTAAACGTCTAATAGGTACACTCTCTTGACAAATTTTACCTTCAGGAAAAGTATGCAACTGTACCTTGAAAATAAATAATGGCTTTCAAAATTTAATAATTAAATTTTGCATCCAAATCTTATAAAATGTGCACAGCCCAAGGCAAGAAAAAGGCTTGAATCACAAAGCAGCGGGTGATCTAGTTTACCCAGCCTCCATTGATTAAGACGTCAAGAGCCTCATTCATATTGTCTTGATATATTCCTCCTCCCCTTGTTATTGGAATGCATTTTCCTGCATCAGGGACAAACTGAGAAAGAAAGCGATAATTGCAGCAGAACGCAACAACTAGCATCCCCATTTAGTAAAATAAATGTCAAATATAATCCATTATTTGCATCTAATGGAAAAGATGCAGGAAAGGCTGAAGACTGAACTACTGATTGAAAGCAATGAATTAAAAAGAAAAAAAATGGCAGATTAATGTATATACGAGGAGCATTTTAATCAAAAGCATGCTGCAGTATAAGTTCTAAGTGCATGCATTTGTTAGGCATAAACTACTGAACAGAAATTTTACAATATCTTAGAAGGCAAAACTTAGATAACATTCAAACCAGAAAATCATGAGGCGTTCCATTCCCCACAAAAACAAAAAAATGACTAGGCAAAAGTTCAAAAACAAACTACTAAATTTTATAAATCAAGCAAACTAAGATAAATGGACTACAAAGATATGTTTTTCCTATGTTTACAATCTCTATCAGGAATAAACAAAAAGGCAATTAAGAATTTCTATGTTTCAGTTTGCATGAATAATTACGGTGTAAAGAATCATAAAGAATGGTTCAACTATAGTAAAAAAAGAGTCATTTTCTACTTTTATAGATCAAGCAATGAGGATCAGCAAAGAGGGTGCAAACATACAAATTCCCCATGCTTGCAAGCTCTACCAGGCATGAACAAAAAAGTAATAAAGAGCTCCGAGATTTTAACAGCACTGCAGGAATAACCATAAGAGTAATGTAACTAATCATATTCATTCATATTTGGTAAAATCTGCATTTCTTATTTACCATTCAAACTATCTTTCGATATTAACCAGTGTTAGAGTCATACATGAAGAGTTTAAAATAATAAATCATTACGCAAAAGAAGAGCAAAATGGCTCTGAAATGCTATTCTTAAAATGATAATACAACAAAAAAATTCCATATATGTAAAATTAAAAACAATTTTTATGTGGATTTATGGATAATGAAAGAAGAGATCTAATAAAACACAAATTGATCATTTTCTTATGAGAAGAAGATATCGTCGAGAATGTAAAGATTGTAAGGTCATTCAAAAGTAAGGTCATTCAAAGTGAGGATTTAAGCACCCAACATCATTTATTAGTTCTAGATTTTAAGATGAAGAGTTGTAAAATAAAGAATACTAGTATTCATCATCATAGAATTAGATGAGGAAACTTAAAAAACAATAATAAATTTATATTTATAAGTAAAATTCAAGATTTCAAAACTTGGGATGTTTATGATGAAGCAAATACTATGTAAGATAAAGTAACAAACACTATTAAACAAGTAGCAAAAGAAGTACTTGGAGAATCAAAAGAAAAAAAAATTTTAAATAAAAATACTTAGTGATGGAATAATAAAATGCATGAAAAGATTAAATATAATAAGTGATGTTATAAAAATTAGTTTAGAGAATTGAGAAAATATAAAATGACCTGTAGAGAGTCTAAAAGAACAATTTGTGAAGCTAAAAATTTCACTTTTAGTAATCTTTATAATAGATTAAATACTAAAGTTGATCAAATATATATGTATAAATTAGCCAAACAAAAGGAAAAGAAAAGTAAAGATTTAACTCAAGTAAAGTGTGTGAAAGATGAAAAATCAAAAAGTGTTTTTCTTAGAAAAAAAATATTCAACAAAGGTGGTTGAGTTATTTTAATAAACTTTTAAATGAAGTTTCTGAAAAAACGATCTACCTTAGTGATCTTAATATCGTTAATAATAATAAAATATATCATTCTTACTGTCGCATTAGTAAAAAGAGGTTGAGGAGGCTTTAAAGAAAACTAAGGGTGGAAAGTCTGTAGGACCCGACGATATCCTAATTGAAGTATGGAAATATATAGAAAATTTGGGATTTTCTTGGCTTACTAAACTCTTCAATGTTATTTTAAAAACTAAAGAGATGGATGATGAGGGGAGGAAGAGTATTTTCCCAAATAAAAGTTTTGAGTTCTCTCTGTTTCCTTTTTCCCAAATCAAAGGAAGAAAAACCAAAAACAGAGAAAATGTTTCTAACTTCTAAACCAACATCTTCATCCTCCACCCGCCATAAAACCTTATCAATCCCAACAAAAAGACAAAAATAATCATCCACTAAAATTTAATTTCACACATTTCCCTTAACAAAATATAACATCAAACTCCCACTTTAAAATCATCATAATGTTTAC